ATTTTTGCAAGACGTTGTTCAAAGTTCCCACGGTCCCTGAACTTACCTCTGAACTTCCCTTCTCACTTCCAGTTCTGCTGCACCAACCTGATTTATTATTTGAACAAACTTGTTAAACTTTTCCTTTGGTTCTCTGAGTGGTTTCCTGCATGTGGGTCAGATCTCTTAAAAACATGATGACAAATGTGTTGTATTCTCCCCCTGCCTGTCATTGCCTAGGGCCCCAAATTTCCTATATCCGCCCGTGATTAAAAGGCACATAAAAAAAAAAAAAACAGCAACAAAAAAGCATTTTAGTAAGTATCTGTGAAGCTATTCTGTGTTATGTTTTTTCTTCAGCAGGAAAAAGCATGCATGTTAGATTAAAGAAGAAGATGGATGGAGCTAAATCTAAAACACTCCTGGAAGAAAGCCTGTTAGAACCAGCATAAGAGGCTGATAATCAGACTAAAATTAAACATTTAATCCTTTTTAAACCATTCATCTATTCACCAGGAATAAAATGTTTCATTATTAGGAATCAGGATACGGTCCCTTTAAGGTTACATCATCAACAGCAACCAATGAGGGCTAGTTCTGTGTTGCTTAGCAACAGAAAGCAACCAAACAACAAAAAAGAAACCCTCCACATTGAAGAAACCATGCTCACTTGTTGACTTTTTTTTTCAGATTTCTTTTGTACCCCCCCCTGCTACCATGGCCCATATCACCATGTGTGAACCTGTTGAGCTCTATAATCTCCTCAACCAGCGCCGCTTTGTGTCCAGGCTGTCAGAGATCAACTACCTCTGTCTGATTGGTGAGTTTTTAGTTGTTTACTTTGTTGTCGACTTTTCTGATCTGTTTTTTTTTGTTTGTTTTTTTTTTTAATTCCCTTTATAAAATCTTGGTTTCGTTATTGAAATCAGAAATGAACTTTCTTTTATAGACGCCCAGGAAACCCAAGACTACAACACCAGTCATATTGTGACAGCCAAAAATGTGAAAATGGTATGCACTAAAAGCTCCTCATATCACTTGGTATAACATTTTCGGAATTTCATCTTTTATATTTCAAGTAAAATAACATTCCAAGATACGGAAACTAAAGGGGCGTTCAAATTCAGGGGTTGGATGTTTTGAAGGACATGCAAACTGCAAATACCAGCTGCGAAATGGATGATCTAGCCTTCTGGAGATGTTCCCACTGACCTCAGATTAACTGCTGTTGACTAGAAGCCAATATCATCTGCATATGCAGTGGGAACTAACTCCAAGTTAACAGTTTGTTTGAACAACCTACTTCAACCCTCAATGAATCAGGAGATAATGTGGGCTGCAATGAATACCTACTAATCTGGGAAGAAGGACATAGTTGACGACCACTTTTAGTGGAGCCTATGAATTTAAATAGCCATTGTTGCCTTGCTATGACGTAATCCACTATAATTAAATATATATAATTAAATTAATAGATTTGGTCTTCAAAGGATGCAGACTCTGAATTTGAACACAGTTTAAGAGACTAAAGAGAAATGCATCAACCTATATGGGGAGCCCTTATTGGTTAAAAAAATGAAACTAAACATCAGAATATGGCAAGACTTTATGTGACTTTAATGGACAAAGAAATGTTAAAGGAAAAGTCGGGTCACATTCAGAATTCAAACTTCTACTTTAAATATGAAATTATTACATGCTTTTCAATAATTGATTAAGTGTTTTTAATTCTGAGTAATTTTCATGTGAATGTGCTTTACTGGAGGCATCCATGTTTGTCAAAGAACACTACTGCCACCTACTGGTTAGTGACGTCACGGTGCGGTATCGGCTGTTGATCAAGTCCCAGTGCTGTATGGAAAAACATTTTATTTGGCTTTCAACTGCAAAGTAAAAT